TTAGTTATGGTCCGGTTGTTTGTACCACAGTGATAGTCAAAGCTAAAATCAATAAAGAACTCGAACACGGATATGAATAACAAAGATATATTACAAATAGGAATATATACAGCGAAGTAGAAAGTGTTAGTACGAACAATCAGGTTTAGTAGTAATTGTCTGAACACGACTCTGTTTCGTACTGCCTCTGACTGACTCGCTCGCTCTGACTGACTGGCTGACTGACAGACTCTTGACGGACTTTCACACCAGACTTCAGACTGAACGGTATTTAGTCACCCCCCCACGAGGGCATCATGTGGCACAAGGCCGATTTAACGTGGGATCTCCGAGCCCGTGGACTCGGCCAAAAATATGCCCTTTGTACCCGTATTAACAGGTTCAGGGTCAGTTTACCTCCCCGAAAGAGACCCCGCCCTTCGGCCTAGCCTCGTTCGGGTTCCTCCCCGCCCGTAGGCAGAGAGTTCAACCGATCAGCCGGTCAGCCGGTCGTCCGACTTCAGACTGAACAGTATTTAGTCACCCCCCCCCACGAGGGCATCATGTGGCACAAGGCCGGTTTAACGTGGGATCTCCGAGCCCGTGGGCTCGGTCAAAAATATGCCCTTTGAACCCGTATAAACGGGTTCAGGGTCGGTTTACCTCCCCGAAAGAGAATCCGCCCTTCGGAGTAGCCTCGTTCGAGTTCCTCCCCGCCCGAAGGCAGAGAGTTCAACCGATCAGCCGATCAGCCGGTCGCCCGACTTCGGACTGAACTTTCCGCTTCATCTTGAGGCGCAGTATTTATTACATATGGAATAGTCCATTATGGTATTATGGGTAAGGTCCCATAACAATATTGATGAATAATTGTTCTCCAATGTACTTCGAAATTCTTCATCCCATCTTTAAAAAATTCTCATCCTTTGATGTGATAAACAGTTCAAATGCTTCGATCAACTCTTCCTTATTGGAGAATGTTTTATTGCGCATAAAAAGCTCAAAATACTTAAATAAGTGATAATCAGTAGGAGAGATATCATGTGAATATGGAGGATGAGGTAAAATTTCATAATTCAGGCTATGCAGCTTTTTGGACAGTTGATTGAAAAGCGTGCAGCCGTGCGTTGTGGTGCAGCAAAATTGGGCCATCCGTATTCACAGGTCTAGGATATTTCTTTTTCAATTTTTCGTACATACACTAAATTTCTCCACAGTACGAAGTTGCTGTTATTGTTTTCCTTTGAGGCAAAAATGAATAATAAATAACCCCTTTGAAAGACCACCATACAGTAATCATTAACTTTTTAGGGTGCAGTGGAGGTTTTGGGTATTTGGTGATGTTATGATGTTGATTTGGGGTTAGGAGAGACAAACGCCAAATAACACGTAACAATAAAAGGGGTTTTAATAGGTTTGTAAAAAGGTACAGAAATCGCCTGAGTAGTCAATAACTAGCTCAGCTAAGAACTTCTCGGTCTATCTGTCTTCCGTCATGTCAACTGACATGCTACTATTTAAAGTCTTTGTTCACAGACGCAGACAAGTTCATCTTCAAGAGGGGTGGTAGGTTTCCGACACAACAGGTGACCACTCGCCTCCTCTCTTACTATTGTCAAAGAGTATCTCTTTCTCATCGTATGTAATGATTTGATGCAAAAATGGTTCTTTCTCTCAGTTTGTACTTATACAGTAAGATTATTCGACATTGTTTCATTGTAATAATTTTCCTTGGGTTTTTGATTACCAATATATTGAAAGAAAAATAATCTGGAAAGAAAAAGAATCGGGAATAAGTCGAGATTTTTATTTATTTATTTAAGCATTTAAGCATTTCACTCCAGCCAAAGCGGGAGTGCTAACAACATGCAAGGGTTTGCAGAGAGTGGGAGCAAGAATAAAGAGGCGTGATAGAAGAAAGGATGAAGAAAAGAACAGGGAATAGATCAAGGCATCTGGAGATGTCGATTGACATTGCATTTGAATAGTTGGAGATTACAGCTATCAGGGAAGCAAGTACGAGGAAGGGAGTTCCGCAGACGGGAATTGCTCGATATGAAGCTATTGAAGTAGAAGAAACGGCCACATTTAACCGTTTCGACAATGAGAGGGTGGGACTGAGATCTCAACCTAGTAGCATGCTTAAATTCATGCATTTCAGGAACCAGCGAAAGTAGATGGCCTGAGATGGAACAAATACATTGAATCAATAGCTTCATCCACTGCAGAGGTTACTACGTTAGACAACCGGATCAACATACGACCGAAAATGCGTCATTTCCGATATGACAACCTAACAGATTTGTTCTTTGTCCCTTCTATACAAAAACACTCGCTCACCCGTTGAATAAATGGCGCGAAACGATCGACAAGCAGCACTTTGATATTGTAACCAAGAACAGAAGGCAACTTTTGTCTAGTTTGGGATCAAATGAAGGTCATTCGAACACTATTTAGCTAAATATATCTAAATTCAACAAAAAAGCATCCAATTTTGGCTCACATTTTTGTAATCACCTATTCAGTTATTTCATGTGCATTGATTTAGCTTAATATCTATTAAGCAGTTAATCAGGTGTATAGATTACAGGTGGAGTCGTTCAGTATTACGGTTGTCAGTAAAAGGATGAACTCTGTATGCAAATTTTAATTTGTAGATATCACTATTTACATTATTCGGACTATCATCCTCATCTTTGTTGCCATATTTATCACAACGTTTCGGCCGTTGTACGCTCCGGCCTTCTTCAGTTGGTTGGAATGTCGAACTGAACCCTTTATTTCGCTAAGGGATCTCGGGAGATAACGAATAACTGGCATCCATTAAACATGGCACTTTGAAGTAGAACAGTCTACCCTAGCGAGCGAAATAAAGGGTTCAGTTCGACATTCCAACCACCTGAAGAAGGCCGGAGCGTGCAACGGCCGAAACGTTGTGATAAATATGGCAACAAAGAAGAGGAAAATTTCTTTTTTTTTCCATTTTTTTTTTTTTTACAGCAAAGAATAAATTCTTAAGATTTCTTAATCTTGAGCATGCAACATACAACTGACCATGCATAAATATTTTTGCTGGAGCCAAATTCTAACTTTTTGAAATGTTTGGCGATTTGCTTATAGTTCTCGCAGACACAGGGCAAACTTGAAACTGGATTCTTGTAGATAAAAACTTAAAGAAAAGATACGCAAAACCAATATTTTATATAATTATTATATTATTTATTAAGTATTTTTTATTTTAACCATTAAATTGTTATCAAAAGAGTTGGAATATTTTGTATGTTAAATAATGAAATGTTTAATTCCCCCCTCCCCAACAAAATAATGAAAACTTATTATACTAAGTTACTCACCCGAGTAAAACCAACTGTACTTTGTACCCCACTTACCTGTTTGCATTTCTCCCCAAAATTTGGTTTCGATCGGTCAATATATGGCTATTTTAAAGAGTGTTACGGATTCGGACAAACAGAAACCACATAATTTTATATATAGATAAGGAATTCTTGGTATTTCTTCTGCTTGAAGAATTTGTGCATAGCACATAAGAAAATGATACTCGTAGTCGGTCAAACCTGGGCCGGATGTATATATATATATATATATATATATATATATATATATATATATATATATATATATATATATCGATAGATAGATAGATAATGTTAGTAGCCAATGTACAGAGTAAGAATATAATATAAAAAGGCTTCAAACACTAATATTCCATGGTTATAATTTATTACATTAGAATCGTAATCACGATTGAATATTAGCGTTTGAAGCCTTTTATATATATATATATATATATATATATATATATATATATATATATATATATATATATTCATGACCTTGAATAATTATTCGACTCTCTCGTAATTACTTAACTCTGATTGCATCTCTTATGATTGATTTCATATGTTATTTGCTGACAACTTCCGTCTTTCGTTCTGCCTTTCTCTTATGGCTAATCAATTCGCTGATTTTGAGCGTCAAGTTATTGTACTTTTCAAAGAGTATCCGACGTGGGGATTGACGAAATGTGCAGAAATTCTTCCTGAATTTTTCAATCACATCAGTCGTCACCAGTTCTCAACGGTTGTTTCCTGTCTTCCTGAATTTACCATTTTTAAACTGGGTACCCTGTAGTTTATATATATATATATATATATATATATATATATATATAGGGGAGGCCCGATAAATTTTATCACTGTTTGATTTCGCCGTGAGTTTCAATATTTGTAAACACGCATTGAATTTAATTTGAACCGTTAATCTTGCTTTTAAATCAATTAACTTTAATATTTCTTAATTTTATCCATTCATCTTGTTTGCAAGAACAAATACTGCATTAATTGTCATTTAAAGGCATTTTGAAGGACGCCTTCTAAATACGGAAATATATATATATATATATATTATATAAATTTATATATATATACATATATATTATAATTATATAAATTTATATATATATATATATATATATATTATAATAAAAAAAATAACAGTAAGATATATAATCCGATGTTCTTATTGATATTTTTATTTTTACAAAACAGTGCTCAATGTAAATTTACAGAGCATAAACATTATAAATTAACTGAATTAAAATATAGTTTCTTCGCTACACAGGAATTACCATGTTTCAAAAACCGAAGCTACAAACTTCAAATTTAATTATATAATTAAATTAAAAGTATTAGTTCTGTTTCATCTTCAAGCGAATTTTGGAATCAGAACTAATGCTTTTAATTTGAAGTTTTTAGCTTCGGTTTTTGAAACATGGTAATTCCTGTGTAACGAAGAGAGAGAGAGAGAGAGAGAGAGATACTTCAAAAATCAGGAATTGCCTGAGGATAACTTAAGTTTTAAACCAGGGTAGCGGATTTAACTGATTTAAAGTTAAAAGCTCTAAATGTTATTTTTACTCTGGATTATTTCACACGTGTATTGAGCACTTTTTAATACTACTGTTTCCTGGTTTGATTCAACTCTGACCATTAACCTTTTATTCAATAGATAGATAGATAGATAGATAGATAGATAGATAGATAGATAGATATTTTAAGTGTATTAATTGTGTCAAGATTAATAACGTCCGTGTAGTTGTTATTATGGCTGGAATGTTTTATTAAGACTACTGATTAGCTATCTGTCTTGATTTATTTCCTACGTAACGTGTTTTGCATGTGTTATGCTTTAGGCTATCTCCCTGTGTAGTAGTAGTCGTAGTACTGTTCTCCGAGTCCTGAATAGCAACCAGTTTGCTCGGCATACCTCTCCTATGTTCGCCAGTTGTTCTCTATTTATGCTTGTCTACCTAAATTGCATATGATACTACAATATGTTAAAAGCATTACTTTGAATATATATATATTTTTTAAATGATAGAATCATATATGCATATGTAATGGGAGGAGATGAAAATATGCACACATGTCGGTTGTAGTGTACACCGAGAGAAAGGGCCGCTTAACTTGACATTTTCTAGCGTCCGATGTGTCTGGACCGGTAGCGTGCAGAAGTGGGGACAGAGGGTGCGGCTCCCCACCTCCGGTATCTATAACGAGCGGGCATCCAGTCAAAGAGTGAAATAAAAATTTAGTTTATATGTAATTTGAATAAATTGTTTATTTCATCTTTCATCTGTTTTTAAATATTTAAAATGTTTTTTTATTCTCGGATTTCTCAGTAGTAGGCCCTATAGCCCGATCCCCCCACCCACCCACACACCCTACCCCACCATAGAATCAAGGAGTTCGGCCCTGGTATCACCAAGCATCACCAAACCTCTACACGTGACTGATCTGGTATTTTTAAGCGGTTACTCATCAAGGTAGTGACCAGACTTATCTTTGCTTAACTTCGTTGATCGAACGAGGACCAATGTTTCAACGTAATATGACCTTAACCTCTATCTCTCCTCCCTCTCCTCCCTTCTCTCTCTCTCTCTCTAAATAAATAAATAAATAAATAAGTATATATATATATATATATATATATATATATATATATATATATATATATATTTAATTATTTTTATAAAAAAATTATAACAAAAATATGTTATAAAATCACTACAAAAATAGCCATTTTGTTTCAACACCCTCGGTGTCTTATCAAGTGATGATGTTGAGACACATTATAAAAATTAGAGATATTAAATTTGGTCAATATATATATATATATATATATATATATATATATATATATATATATTGACCAAAATAATATCTCCAATTTTATAATGTGTCTCACGACTTTAAAATCAGATGTTAGTGGTATGGCTGTAAATATTGAACATTCTGTGTATATATATATATATATATATATATATATATATATATATATATATATATATATATATATATATGTAGATCTATTAATCGTGGCAAGATTAATAATGTTCGTGCAGTTGTTGATGTTATTATAGCTGTCATGTTTTTATTATTATTGTTGCTGATTAGCTATCTGCCTTTATTTGTTTCTCTATTTATTTTAATTTTAATATTTTCCTTTTTATTTTTAATGGAACTCTCGATTCTTGAGTGACTTCCGGAAAGTCGGGTAATGCGACTGGAGGTGTGAAACTTTTCTTGTATAAACAGTGTTTTCAATAGCAAATTTTGGCTTTATCAGATTATGTTAAGATGCAGTCTGTATAAACACTGACCACTCGTGAACGGAAGCCAAGAGTAAACATTCGTTGCTATATAATATTTTTTTCAATATTTTTTTTTTAGATCAACCCCGAAAGGAATATATAAAACCGCACCCACCCGAGCGCATATGAGTCTAAACATACACTATTAGAATTGCGACAACATTCTGACCCATATAAATATTAAAACATGGTCGGGATGCACATGGAAGTAGTCCCTGTAAAATAGACACATGTAAATATTTACATAGAAAAATTAATGCGCGAACGTTCCGTTTTGAACAGACGTATTTATGAGTAAATAATTATAGACTCGCAAGGCTTACACGTAAACATATCAGTCAGTTATGTGCCATGCGTGATACACGCTTAGGCGATCATGTATCTTTCGATACATGATTGACGAGGCAGATTTTTCCCGCAGTAGGTTGCCATTTCTTTCTTCGGTAGCCCAGTGCCATCCAAGGCTAGAGAACCCAGTCTGTCCTGCTATTTATCCATAGCTGGAGGGAGAAGAAGAGGATTCACACCTTTCCCAAGGGTATCAGCGCGTAAATGAATGTAATGGATTCGACTGGAATTCGAACTCGGCTCTCCGATTCCTCAATCCGAACCACTATCCACTACTCCACCGTGCCAACATACACATTAGTCACAAAGCTTTCTCACTCTCTCTCACTCACACACACTCTCTCTCACTCTCTCACTCTCTCTCTCTCTCTCTATCTATCTATCTATCTATCTATCTTACTCTTTCTCTTTCTTTGTCCCACTTGATCACTAACATTCTATTTAGTTTGTCTATATGCAACACATCAATAATCGTAAGCAAATGAAAAACGCATATGAATTTATTTTACATAAATATTTATTTTCTACCATAATCTTCCTCTTTGACAATGCACATAATCCACTGGCGAATTTTTATCTCTTCCCAAATTATACAGTGAACATTTCGGTTCAATATAAATACTTGTCCACTTGCATAATTTTTATCTATAAGACAATCCTAAAAACATCAACTTTGACATAATTTCCCAAAGAGCCGGAGTCATGGTCAAGCGTTTCCATATTATCTCATATATTTACCATCCCGTCTGATACTCATAGAATTTTACTTATATATATATATATATATATATAAAAGCTCAAACACTAATATTCCTTGGTATTTTCCGATTTCTTTTTGAATTTGTAGGTCTGATGAATTGGATCGTGATTACGATTACAATGTAATAAATTATAACCATGGAATATTAGTGTTTGAGCCTTTCATATTATATTCCTACTCTGTCCTGGACACTGAGTTCTACCTGGATTCTATCCTTTTGGGAATATATATATATATATATATATATATATATATATACAGAGAGAGAGAGATCACGAGACCACTAATATTATCAATATATATATATATATATATATATATATATATATATATATCGAACGAGGAGTTGTGTATTGCGACAATAAAACAATTAAGCAGGTATACCTTGATTCTATTTAATCAAACTTGTTTGGATTAATATTTGCTATCTATCTATCTATATATATATATATATATATATATATATATATATATAATACTATCTACTAATTTTCAGTTATGTCAAAATATAGTTGACAATATATCTGCCCAAATTTATTTTATCAGGATACTTGATTCTATATAGGTAAACATTAGTCGGATTTTCTCTTGGTAAACACGAGGTGTTTATACTTGAGTATACTAGATAAAAATTGGTCGTCCATAGCCCACTTCACAAGCATCCACACGGTAGGTGGCATTTTTGCGGTGGTGAGGATCTAAACCCTCTGCAGAGGATACATTGGACCTATTGTTAGCCCCACAGCCAATAAGCATATATAAAAAACGTAGATATATCGCTAAGTCCCTAGCTTAAATGAGGGCGTGGCCGAGTGGTTAAAACGTTCGCTTTCTGACCCGGGTTCGAATCTCACCATGGTCGATTTATCAGGAAGTAGATTTCCTGGTGTTATCGGTCTGGACGAGGGTCGATCACAGCGTGCGGGATTTTGGAAAGTGCCTGAAAAAAACCGTACTACATGTTGACGCAAACTTTGTGAGTGAAACTCGGTAGACGGAACCCGTCGATGGCTGTGCTAGCACGAAGTCTCAAGTCATCGTGACCGAGGTTTTGAGTGTGCTGGCCTTGTTTAGATTGTTGATCACGCTAGATAACATGCCCTCTCCCAGAAACTGTAACTAAGGTCTGCTCAGCATGGTTGCAGTATAAACCACAGTTTGGATCTGTGGGTGTTGAACAAATACAAATGTGCCTGAGCGAGCGTCTGCAATAGGGGTTGGCTTGTAGAATACTAGTGGTTAGCTATTATAAATGCCTAGCCTAATGAGGTAAAAAGCGTATTTTACATAGGAAATACCTATTTTTCAATATAAATGCATTTACTAAATTTGTAAATAGTATAAAAGTGAACTGAAATTATATTAATATCATGTCAAGTCACATACTACGAGTGCTATTGGAACCATGAAATCTAATAATACGGGTGATCTACAGGGAGCTTTCTGATGATGAGGGTGGACCATCTTGTGGGTCAACGGCCATCTAGCATAAAGGGTTAAACCGAGTTCCATAGCTATGTATGCAGTCAGTTCAGTGATGACCCGGTATCGCTGCGTGGAAGGCTTAATAGGCTGAGGTCAGCGACCAAGGCGGAGGTTTTCCTTCCGATGGGATCAACGGTCACGTATCCATAACCAAGGAGAACCTTCAAGTTGGACATCAAGGTTATTGGTTCCACCAGGTCTATCTTCCCAAGACACGCTACGGAAACGCTTTGCACCCAGACATGTGGAGTGAACTGGTCGATTGCTCAGTTGCGCATCGACCGTACGACCACACCCGGCCATAGAGATGATGATGATGATAATGATGTCCATCATGATGATGATAGCCATGACTAATCACATAGACCAAACGATACTCAGTGAAATTCTCAAATCAAAATTCAAGTAACGATGTGCCAGGCTTCGGATTTATTGAGCAACCCCGGTATTTAATATCGTTTGAACGCACATGCACGCATGCGCACACACAGTCGTGTACACGCGGATACCTATATAAATATGTGGGCACACAAAAAGGCATAAGAAGAGAAAACACACACAAAAACAAAATCAACATTTACAAGCATTTGTCAAGGAATTCCTTTTGAATTACAATATTTTCATTCCAGAGAACAAAATGCTATTTATTAAGGCACAATTTATTGGATTACTCATGCCAAACAATGTTTTTATTCAAATGGCCGAAATCAACTTAGATAACTGAGCGTAAGAATAATAAGCACAGTTTGTGTACGCACAATCACCTCACAGAAACATTGTTACCTCCCCTTGATGGAAGCGCTCCCTGCACGGAATGAAAATTAAATGAATTCTTATTCGTGGCCATTGATACACACTCATTGATTCACCGACTTTCTGAATGCACGAATTACATTAGATTTTCAGCGTACAAATAATATATGTTTTGCCGAGATGTTTTTTTCTAGATAAAATATGCCATCGCCGACCGAATGTGTGAACTCGTACGAATGCGAAATGGCGGTGGGGCTTCGTTTCAAACGTTATAAAAAAAAAAAGCCGGGCTGAAATACGGAACAATAACGGAAAAAAAAAATTTCGATTTGAATAATTTCGTTGGAAAATGATACAAAGCATGACAAGCGGAAAAGTCGTAAAAAAAGTGGATGTAAAGATAGGAGGAGGAGGAGTGGGGAAGAGGAGGCGTGGGAGTAGGGGAGGAGGAGGCGTGGAAGGAGGAGGAGGTGTGAGAGGAAGAGGAGGTGTGAGAGGAGGAGGAGGTGTGAGAGGAGGGGGATGAGGAAATAACGGTATTGAAAAGAAAATGGAAAGTAGATAAGATGAGGAAAAGTATAAAAAGAGAAGGAGAAAAAGATATTATGGAATTGTATGAGAGTTGGGGGTCGAGAGAGTTAACAGAAAAATGATGAGGTAACGGTAAAGATAGAAAGAAAAGATGATTCTCAAAAAAAAAAAAAAAAGTAGGTAACAAAGAAGGAGAAAGAGAAACTCCAATAAAGAAAGAAACCAAACTGACAGCAAATCCTCAACAACGGCTGCAGCAGCAGCTGTAACAAAAGAGAAAAGCCTTGTTGAGTGCAGTCAAGCATAACAAACAGCACTCATCGACAGAGTTCAGTTCAGAATTCCCCGTAGGGTTACCCGAATCAATATACATCTGATGAAGGCCGGAGAACAGAACAGCTGAAACGTTGTAATAACTTTGGTAACTAGACTTTATGAATTCAAGCATACTATTAGACTATCAGAAAGGTCCTATTAACTGACAGTTGAAATAGCCATATGTAACCATAAGTCATATGCTAATAGTTTCTTCTGTCGCACTTCTCGCTTCCGGCTTCTTACTTCTCAGCCAGCTTTGATCTTAGCAGCTTTACTGCCTTTGCTTGGGAGTTAAAAGATACAAAAAGAATTAAAAAACGAATAAAAGATCAACGAGGAGAAACTCCACTAATGAAAGAAACAAGATGAGGATGTTGAAATATGACGATAGGAAATAGAACAGTCAAGAAGGAAACAGGAATTTAAAATCACAAGCAACCAAGAAGTATATCTGGAAAGAAAAGCTTAGTGTTATACTATTTTAGATAGATAGATAGATAGATATGTGGCACCATTTACCAGGGCAAAAAAGAAAAGAAAGGAAAAAGAGAAAGGAAAGAAAGGAAAAGAGAGGCGAGACTTAAGCGTAGATGATAAAAGAAACCACCCACGACCAGGGGCCTTGACAATGTTATTTTGATAAGTAGCAAATGGCGAAAAGGTGTCATTACCATTGCAAAAAAAAATTCTAAGTGGATAAGGGAATCGACTATGTTCTGGCGACGAACTTGTGTTATCGGGGATAGATAACAGTCGCTTAATGCGGGCAAACATCTAATTAGCAAACCACAGACCGACTAGCTAAGAAAACTCTAACTAATAATGTTATTTTGATAATTGACAAAGAACAGGTGAAATACAGGGCTTTGGATAGATAAGAAAAATTAACTGTGTCGTCTGCTAAGCCGCACACGAGGCCAACCTTGAGTAACGACTGACCGTTTTTTGATCAAGACATCTTCGGTTGTGATAACAAAACTATGTTATCAGAAATTGGCACTAAAGAATGACTAGAACAATGGAACTGTTTTTTCGAGACGACGGTCGACTGGACGACCACCCATTCTGATAATTAGCAAAAATTTGACTGACGAAGTCCAGATGAAGAATTGAGGTTATCACACCACTGGTCACATTGTTCTGTTGGCGGCCAGAGAAAATGAGAGCTGCGATTAAGGAAAGAAAAGGAAAAGAAAAAGATAATTATAAAAAAATAGCTAATATTACCATTGACCGAGAGTTTGACAGTGAAAATTAGTTCGATTGTAATAAAAAAGTTTTGTCGTCGATTTCAAATACGAACTGCGGCAGAATGACCATAGCTAGATGAAGACACTATTGCCGCTGTTGCCTGAAATGTGGGAGGTATTTCTGGGATGTATATGTGGGATATATTTCTGCCACACACTTTATAAACACAGCAGCACCGTAAATATATATATATATATATATATATATATATATATATATATATATAAGTTTGTGTTTGTGGTTCTTTGGTCACGTGGTATGATTTTAGCTATCGCCTATAAATATGCGTTTCTCTTTGCCTCGTTAGCCTTACTTTCCCTGACGATCCGTTTAGGTGAAACCTAGGTAGGTTTGTCTGGCTCACTAGGTGTACCTAGGTCTGCTCTACGGTTGTATTGAGCTCTTTTGTTAGTTAGTTGTTACTCGTATCGGGGTTTTTTCTTTGGGCTTCAGACCTGCATCTGTGCGATTTTTTGTCGGCAGAAGTTCATGTTTGTAGCTCTTTCTTTTTTAAAACCTTTTTCCTCGAGATTGATTTGATTAGCAAATCAAAAATTCAAGGGTTTTTCGAAACGAGTCTAGTTATCTATAATTATATATATATATATATATATATATATATATATATGTGTGTGTGTGTGTGTGTGTGTGTGTGTGTGTGTGTGTGTGTGTGTGTGAAAAGAGTGTGTATATAAATATCATATATATATATATATATATATATATATATATATATATATATATATTTTATTTATATATAATACGCGGTACTTATTAGAAAGCGCTCATAGTTAGCACGATGACATCACGACGACGATTCCCCCACTCCCCATAATAACACCAATACACGCAATCTACATAAACCCAAATTTTAAAAAAATTAATCAGTTTTTCTGACGATCGCAAAAGCGTGAAACCCAGGGTCAGACAACTCACATCAATCCCAACAAATATATATATATATATATATATATATATATATATATATATATATCGAACGAGGAGTTGTGTATTGCGACAATAAAAGAATTATGCAGGTATACCTTGATTCTATTTAATCAAACTTGTTTGGATTAATATTTGCTACCTATCAATCTATCTATCTATTTATCTATCTATCTATCTATCTATATATATATATATCTATATATATATATATATATGTGTGTGTGTGTGTGTGTGTGTGTGTGTATGTGTGTTGCAGTACAAAAGGTGATCATCTCCCTTTGGTCGATATTAAGTCAAGTGGGTCACGTGACGTCCATTTAGTAACCTCACTTCATACAGTGACCAAATTGTCACTCTGGCAATCAAGCTTCCTGTTGATCAAGACATGTGTTGATCGCCCTGACCGAGCTTCTGCCCGGGCCAGTCAACTGCCACATGGTACAGATTACAAGTATAAGCACATATATTTACCAGGTATAGAAAACATCTCCGGCTCGCAGACCTCGTTTTGGGGAAAAGCCAAGTCTCGACGTTTTCTCGACCGAGCAATATGTTCTCGCTAGTGACATAGTAGATATAACCTGCTCATTCTAAGCTGGAAACCTAACTATGGCTTCTCCAGAAACACAGAAAAAACTCTGTATTATATGTAAGACCCTATCTTTTCGTTTTTCTTTCAAACTGCTTGTTGTGCAGATATGTTTTATATTTTCCCGGCGTAGGACACATGAATTATAGATAATCATGTGTACGACTTAATGGTATAAAACTCTGTTTGAGAAGAAAGCATTTTGTTTGTCTTTTCCTTTCAACCATTCGACATGTGATATTTACCGCCATTAATGTAAACAGATTTACAAATTTTCAACCGACTGATATTTAACTTCGTATCCATTTACTTTCTCGTTTTCTATAATGCCTATTTTTACCCAAAATTGATCTTGAAAATTCACACTTCGTCTTAAAGTCTGGTTCTGAATTCGGCCTCTCCTAATTATTTTTCTTAATTTTCCCATTTCATAAACTCAAAATTGGAGAGCGTCTTCAAGTTTGAAAGCGGCAGCGACTCTTGTAAATAAGTTAAGTATAATTTCTAATGTAGCGTTCCATTCTTTATATCATGGCCACTGTCACAACCATTACTTAACACGCAATCTTTAGACGTTAATTCTACGCTTGGTACGGAATTTTATCTATACGATATATTGTACCAATTCTAGATTGGCTTTTATTTCCTCCTGGAATGAAAGTAAGGTCCAAATGTTGAGAGACAAACCAAACAGATAACTAATGAAATCTTATAAGATTATACAAAATAATTCTAGTAATCTTTGACGCAATCACTGTATTTCTTTACTGTTCTTCATCTTTTACAGGGGCCAAGAACCACTGAAGGTAAAGGGTTATTGGATGAGGTTTTTGAAAGTAGATAACAGTTGAGACTAGACTTGAAGACGTTAATTTTGCGGCGATCGGAAAGCATCATCTAGGGAGTGTGTCCTTAAAGGTAGCGGTTCTTGGAAAGGAACTGTCTTATAAATAGGATACGAAGGGTTTATTCTAACCTTTACACGTGTCATGGCGGGTCTTAGCTCTGACGGTCTGAACTGGTGGATCATAGCAATGTAGAGTGTCTAAAGTTTTTCATGGAAATAGCGATAGACCAGTGAGAGGATTGCAACGTATGTGAGATAAGGGTCTGTAAGGTGAAAAATGATAGGCCATCAGCCACAAGGCCTTGTAGATGTGTTTGGATCCTATTATGGTTGCATAGTGAGAAACAAACAGCTCTAGCCCGGTTATGTTTGTAATACTCCTGTTACGGTCTGATCTGATATGATAAAGCAGAGACTGAAATTTTCTATGGCGATGCAAGGATCAGACCATTTTTCAAGCCTCTTTTGGGCAGGATATGTGTTCCACATGAGGTCCGGAGAGGACATAACCAATAGACGCTCAAAGCAAGGAGCTTCATTGAGAGAACAGCCGTTCATCAGGGCTGGAGAAAATTCAGGGTCTGCTCTGTGATGATGAATAGTTACTGTCCATGTCTGAGGATATCTCGTATTATTCTTGAGGCCTGGAGGGAACTTAATAAGCAATAGTCTTTCCGAGAAAAGAGCCTCATTGAGACTAAAACCGTTCGTCATGACTGAAGGAAAATCAGAGTCTGCTCTGAGTTGATGAAACATTACTGTCCATGTCTTAAAGATATCTCGTCTTACACTTGCGGTTTGGAGAGAACTTAAATCCGTTCAAAGCAAGGAGCCGTATGAAGCTTAAAAGATTGTCGTCAGGGCAAGAGAAAACACCGGATTTGCTTTGCAATGATAAAACGTTATTGTCCATGTCTAAAGATATTTCTTCTTAGTCTTGAGGTCTGAAGAGAATTTAACCAATAAACGTTCGAAACAAGGCGTCAGAGTGATAGAACAACTGTTCTTCAGGATTGGAGAAAACACCGGATCTGCTTTGTGATTATAAAACTTTAATGTTCATAGCTAAGAATATATCTTCTTACTCTTGAGGTCTTGAGAGAACTTAATAACCAATAGACTAAAGCAATGGGCCTCATTGACAGTACAACCGTTCATTACGATTGGAGAAAACTCTGGGTCTGGTTTGTGATGATAAAACTTTAATGTTCATGTCAAATGATATCTCGTCTTACTCTTGTGGTCTTGAGAGAACTTAATATCCAATAGACCACTAAAGCAATGGGCCTCATTGACAGTACAACCGTTCATTACGATTGGAGAAAACTCTGGGTCAGGTTTGTGATGATAAAACAATATTGTCCATGTCTTAGTATATCCAGTCATATTTTTGAGGTTTGGAGAGAACATAATATACAATATACGTTCAAAGCAAGGAAACTCATTGGGTCTGTAACCGTTCATCATTGCTAGAGAAATCTCCAGGTCTGCTCTGTGATTATGTGTAGTTGCTGTCCATGTCTAAGGGTATATCGTGTTTTTGTTGAGGTCTGGAGATAGAACATTGTAACCCACAGACGTCCAATGCAAGGAGACTCGTTGTGTCTGTAACCGTTCATCATGGCACTTTCGCGTCGCCGTGACGTGGCTTTCCTCTGTCTTTTCTATAAATATTTTCATGGCAATCGCTCTCGTTAAATTTCTTCTTTTGTAACCGAATGAATGTAAGCATACTACTAGATTGGCAACGAGACAGCATCGTTTTAATGTTGAAATGGTTGGATATCATCATATGTTCTTTTCTTATAGTTTCTTTTCTCGGACTTCGAGCCTGTGGGACTCCCTTCCAGTTTCTCGCATCCCTGTCACCTGCTATCTTCAAAAATTTAGACCATTGCGTCTTCGTGACATGATTGCCTTGCTTTGAACGAAATGATTATTAGGTTGGTGCAAAAATAATGACGTAATAATGTCGTTTTTGACGTTAAAAAATACGTCAAAAAACGACATTATTACGTCATTATTTTTGCACCAACCTAATAAAAATAATAATAATTCTTCTTTAAAATCCTTGGTATTGGTTTAAGGAATAATTCGTTGCAAAGATGAAAACGAAGAATTGGTGATAATAAAATATGGTTTATATTCCAAGCCTTATTCAACCAATTTTTTGGTACTTAATCACACTATATTAATAGGGATCTGTCTTGTAAGTGTTTTGTTTTTTCTTTCTTCTTTAATTTGCTGCAGATTCTTGACTTCCGTATCTACTCCACATCACTCAGCCGAGTTGAACGTTTTCATAATCCATATTGTTAAAATATTACACGCTCTCTGAGGTTACCCAATGCCTGCATTTATTTACTAACACGACAGGCAGGAGTTCCACAATTAATGGCCTCGGCAAGGTTAGCTTTTGCAAAAGGAGTTGGATGTCGAGGTACGAAAAAAGGGAACCCCCACGAACTCCAACAGCGTATATTCATTGAAGTTTGTCATACGACCAGAGCGATGATACGTCACGTTAAGCCACATCTCCCTTTGCCTGACGAGTATTTTCGAATTACAAAAAAAAAAAAGAAATTTTGTTTTATTTTCTTGCAAGATAATGAGCTTCCAATGTCGGCAGCTTGTGTCTTAGACTAATTATAAAAGTCACACGTCGCTCGATTCCGTCAGAGCCTGCCTATGTCTTTTTACTCGAGTTAAAAATACTTTACCATTGTTTTAGCTCCAGCAGGCGAACAGCAATTTGATATTTTCCTGTTGTCCGTTGCAATTAAGCGATAAAATATGTCCCCGTTAAACGTATGCCAGTTCTGCATTCTTGCACATATGCAAAAAATATATTTGGAGGAAGACAGCCAATTGATCATACGATGATAGTTTCGGATATATAAGTTTATTTTACACATTTGTACATAGCTGGATCACAAATATAAGAAGAAAAATTGATCAGCTTTTCAAAAAAAAAATTATTCTTTATCAAATTAAAATCATTAAAAGAAAACCTCGATCTGAATAAAATTGAAATTTCACTTTTTAACTAAATAAATACAAATCATTCTCAAGACAAACGAACCCTACTCTAAGGATAAAAAGTTCGCGTACAGTGTCCTTTTATAGTCCCAGTAAACAGAAATAGTTCTCTCGAAGAGGAGAGTAACAGAACAATGGGTGACCACTCTTGATTATTCATAGCAGTTACTTCAGATATTTTAATAATTTAGTGAATGTTTATAAATTTAAGAATAAAAAAATTGTTTTTATATTTATTTCTTTATAAATTTGTAAATGAAAATTATCGCATTGCATCACTAATTGTATTAGTTTTTTTTAGAATTTTGTAAATATAAAATTATTCTTGTAACTAAACAATCTAATAAAATAGTATTTAATTTATTTTGGTTGGATTTACAGCATATCAATCTCAATGGGTTATTTAATGCCGACAATTTTTTTTATTTCTTCAAAAATGTATTGCTGGTAATATTTTTGTGTTTTTCATCAATGTAGCAAGGATTTTTATGTGAGCAAAAAATGATTCGAACATTAGGGGTCAATAGAAAAAGAAATTTTTTGCCTATGTCAAAATAATTCCAAAAGCCAAGGAAATATAGGAGAGAAAATTGTATGAGCAAAAGTACTAATAAAAAAGTACTAAATATTAAATGGATTTTTGACTTTCATAAACATTTCGAACCTTGGGGGAAAAAAATATAACAAAGATTTTTGTCTAAGCAAAAATGTTTTAAAAATTTGCAAAAAATATCGGAAGGATTTTTGCCTGAGTAAAATACCTCGCAAACCTGGGGAAAATATAAAAGGAATATTTTATGATTCTTTTTCTAATTAAAAACTTTATGCAAATAATCTCTTTGTTGATGTAAGAATACTTAATAGAAGATTTTGTTATTTTTAATTACTATAAATCCTCTCTATTATTTTAGTGTTTTATCAACAAACATGAAATAAAAAAAAATTGTTTCCAATGAGATTTCAAATCTAATCACATGCCATAAAAAATCGCCATTAATGGACGTCACTTTAAACACTTTTACCTTGTAAGCTTAGATAATCCTTTTTTTCAATGTGCCACGTCCCTTCAGGACATAGGCGATCATGGCTCTCAAAAACTTTCCATCTCTTTTAACTCTTTCTCCCTTTTCTAAGCTTCTCTCTAACCCCCTTCCACAATCGTTCACACAATCTCGTCAGCTGGATGGCATTGCCTTCCCCTGTCTCCCCTGGACTCACTATGTTCTGTATACCAAAAGGTTGCCATGCCCTCCATCCTGATTATGTGTCCAAAAAATTACAGCTGTCTCTTCCTGATTCTGGGTATGAGTTTTCTTTTTGTTACCATTTCTTTTAAAAGTCCTTTACGCTTAATCGCGCTCCATTCAAGGAATTCTCAGTATCCTCCTGTTGAACCAAATTTCTGCTGCCTTATCGGTGAAAATATTGTCCAGCATTCATTGCTATATGAGAGGATGGATATCACAGAGCAAACCAGCACTTTTTCCCCTTTGTTTCCAAAGAAACGTTTCTGTTTCTCAGCACTTTGGAAGACGCCTTTCGCTCGCCCAAGGCGTTTTGCATGCCGTATTTCCCATCCCCTGTTATAACACATCCCAGATATTTAAACATTCAGTACCTGCTTAATGTTAACATCACCAATTCGTTACTCGCATCTGCGGCTTTTTCTCTCGTTGATGACAGTACTTTCTTTGTTCTTGCATTTAACAGGTAGTCCTTCATTCTTGCTTTTTTTTTTTACTCCCCTCACGAGAAGGTCGTACCATGTTCTCTCTGGGACAGCCATCAACAGAGTGTCATCTTATATTGTTAAGATTACGCCCCACCCCCTATAATAAATCCTGATAGGATTTTCAGATAGACTCGCTGCAGAGGGCGAATAAATCTAGAGAGACGGTCCATCCTTATCTCAATCTTTGTGTAAATACTCCATTTTTTATCCGAAAGCAGGGAGTTTGCTCCCAGGATATAAAGCATGGTATTTGCTCATCTCTGAGTGATTTCTTTGTCCTATTACTTAGAAAGCACTCGGTCAGCCCGATAAAAGACTCAGAGTTGGTTGTATGTGGTGCTGTAAGCACCAGGAGTTGTGTCCCCTTCCACAATAGGCTGTTGAAAGAAGACCTTCTACTTAGAGTAGGTGGCGTTGACTATTTGCATATGAACGATACTGAGCAGGTATTAGCCAATAGTCAGCGTGGGTCTAGGATTAGAAGAGCTATATAACACCATTTTTTTCTTAATCGAGAGGAGACACTATCAATGTGCTGTCGTGCGCAAACCAAACCAAACCAAACCAAACCAAACCAAACCAAACCAGACCAGACCAGACCAGACCAGACAAGACGAACACAAGTTGGCTTCATTTTCTCTGTGAAACTGTTAAAGAAAACAATTTCACTCTCATTATTTGATCATTCTCTTAATTGTTTTGACAACACAACACCGACCATTTAAAACAATTGTCGTGTTTACATTTCAAAGTTTCTACCAAAAAGCTCTGCTAACAAAAAAAGTAGAAAGTTAAAAGGATCGAATAGTGTTTTCGTTTGTTCAAAACTGCAAAGTAAACAGAGGTATCTTGGATTTTGCTAGAAAAGATCAAACTTCGTATAAATATGTAACATGTGTATTGAAGCTGTTTTCATTGTAATATTAGTAGTAGTAGTAATAGTATATATGTTTACAGGTACAAAATTAATATATTGTTTTAAAAACAAGGAAAATGTTTGTCTCAAAGGCCCTTTCATTCAAAATCTCATCAGGAGTAAATTGTTGGCAATAAATTAAACGAAAGAACACTAACACAGAAAATGAAGAGCAAAAAATGGGGAACACAAATAAAATATATATATATATATATATATATATATATATATATATATATATATCGAGGGAAGGAGAAATCTCGTGTAAATACAATTAGTGAGGGACAATTAAAATAAAATATCCCTAACAAATTAAGAAACTTGACAAAATCCTTCTGCCGGCAGAGACAAGTTTTGTGTAGTGATATAGTGATATATTTTTTAAAACAATGCATATATATATATATATATATATATATATATATATATGTGTGTGTGTGTGTGTGTGTGTGTGTGTGTGTGTGTGTGTGTGTGTGTGTGTGTGTGTGTGTGTGTGTGTGAAAATATATAGAAAATAGGAAGGAACTGGTTAGGTAAATAATCCAAAGTCCCTTAGTATTTTAGTTATTATTTTTTTAAAATAGTACCCGATACAAAAGTAGAGCATATATATATATATATGTAAGCAAATGTAAATGGATATAGATCCGACAGAATGAAGAAAAATTTGGAAAAAACAAACAAAAATCCTTAAATTCAATTATGTTGTTTAAAATGAATGAAATGTCGACGTCTGACGTTTCGGTTTAATAAACCTTTTTCAAGACAATATTCATTAAAATACAATTCAGTTCATTTTAAAAATTTTCAGTTATCTGTTTTGGATAAGACTTGTTGTTTATGTCCATTGTCTTTGTCAAATTGAACTGAATTGTATTTTAATGAATATTGTCTTGAAATGGTTTATTAAACCGAAACGTCAGACGTCGACAATTTCATTCATTTTAAACAACATAATTGCATTTAAGGATTTTTGTTTGTTTTTCCAAATTTTTCTTCATATATATATATATATATATATATATGTATGGACACGTGGTCGAGTGTGAATTCTCTGATCATGAGAACCGGGTTTGAATCTCAGCATGTTCAATTTGTCAGAAAGGAGATTTTCTGATGCTATCGGACTGGAGGGGTCAATCCCAGCGTGCAGTGCCTTTGGAAAGTGACTGAAAACCATACCACGGGTTGGCCCAAGCTTTGTGAGTGAATTTGGCTAGACGAAACCCTTGGGTGCCGTCGATTGCTGTGCTAGCACGAAGTCACAAGTCATCGTGACCGAGGGCTTGTGTGTGCTGATCTTTTTCACATTTTTGATCCTGCTAGATAACACGCTCATTCGCAGAAACTGTGACTAAATTCTGCTCAGAATAATTATAGTATAAATCACAGAGCAGACGTCTGCAATAGGGATTGACTAGCTGCCCTAGTAGATGGGTATCCTCGAATACGAGTGGCCAGCTATCATTATATATATATATATATATATATATATATATATATATATGTATGTATGTAAAACAAAATGACAGCGTCTTTTTCTAGCCTCTTTCTTTTTCCAAAGAAAATTAGTGACACCTCTCATGGCTTCCCTCTCTCTTTTTCTTTTTATGTGTTTTTCTCCTCTACCCCTTCGATATCAATATATAACTTCCGTTAAGTTAACCGTTTAAATGTGTCAATGTCCGGACCTCTTCAAGTAATTTTAAGTATAAAAGAATAGAAATTTTAAATTACATCTAACTCAGTCATGTCTTCTTTCTCTCCCCTCACTTCCTCACTTCGTTAATTTACATATG